CTTGCCACCCTAACCACCTCTCTGGTGCCGCCCCTGCTTCTCAAGACCACTGCTTGATGTTTGCTAACCCACAGTGGGGCCCTGGTCCTAGGTTTAGGAACCATTAATCGAATGAATGAACAAACGCCGAAGCACAGTTGTTGCCCTCTGTTGAAGTTGAGGGGAGATCATGTTTTTCTGTCTGTCCGTGCCTGTTAGTGAACAGTTCATAAGCTGAAAGTAATATAACTGATCAACCTTTTATAAAACAGCTAAATGGCTACGACTCAACCTGTTTTACAGATAATGAGCTTGAAGCTGGTGTGGTAGTAGCTGAGAGTCATCCTCAATACTCTGACAAGGCAGGAAAGGCGGCGGGCAATATGCATTCCTTCAAGGATCCTTTTAAACGTAAAAAAAAATGAAAATAACTGAACATATTTACTTTTTAGTGGCTCATTGTTTTAACTCCCGGGAGGCGAGAAAGAGTTCAAACGAAATTCACGCGGAAACGACTGTTTTAGCTCGTGATGCTGCGGTTTAGTGAAGTTGTTACAAGTCGTTTGACATGCAGGTCGGCAGACAGACACGTTGGATCACTTAAAGGAACGAAATGTTCTTGTTCTTTCGTTGAGCTGTCAAACAGGAGCGTCAGAAGTTACGTCATTTACGGCTTCAGCTCGGAGCTACAGGAGCCCAGCTGCTGCTCGCCTTGCGCCAAAACACGGATCAAAGTAACAAAACGGACAAAACGGCGCGTTAAAAGTCGAGGGCGCGGAGTCGAGACAGGAAGAAGCCTCAGCACGTGGGCTCACACTGAAACAGAACAAAGGAGGTATGGCGGAAGCAGCTCCTCCGTGGACAAACAGCTGGATTTGTCTTCCAGTCCGAGTTCTATTCTTACCTTTCACCGAGAGCCTGTGGGTCTGCCTGCGAGCTCAGGGGTTCAGAGTTCCTGCAGCCAGCCTTCATTAGAGCCTGGTCACATGTCTCACCACAACCTGAGGGGGTTCTGTGGAGCCTTCATCAGCTGAAGGGACAGGGTTTGTCTTCTATTGAGCCTAAAGGTCACACTACTGTCTGTGGCTGGACCACGGTTACAAAACACTCATCAATACACTCAAGATGGCTATCTAAACTGCAGACCTGGGCAACATGTGGCCCGGGGGCCGAAAGTGGCCCTTGAACCATCTCCATTCGGCCCGAAAAATTCTTAATTGAAGATAACTTTTTAAAAAGTTGATGAAAACCAGTCATTTTTCAATGAAACTTTAAGAAGTTTAAATGGATAATTAAACTAAAAACCTATGGGTTAAGGTAGGATAACCCTTTTTTTTTTTTTTTATGTTGTTGGGTTTACAGACTTAGATTGAACCTAAACTGAAAAAGTCCAAAAAGTTAACACATAACTTGTTTTAAATGCATATTTAGGATAATATATAGTCACAAGCAGGGCTTAATTAGAGCCTGATCCTGCCGGAACAGGATCCGGGAACGCTCTTATTTTGACAGGGTAAATGTTTGCTTGGATCTAGTAACTCTCAGACTTACTAATAATAAAGTTATGAACAAATATGACTGCCTTGAACAAATACAACCTTGGACATGAAATTTGAAAATAATTACACAAACACTAATTTTAAATATAACAGCCACTTACGAGCTTCCTAATATCACGTAAGAGCTGCCCCTTCAAGTAAGCATTTCCACTTGTACCCTTGAAAAAAAACTGCCCCTAAAACTACAGTCATGTGCAATTTAATTAAAAACACACACAAATAATTAAACAGCACAACTAATTTGCAAATCAGTTTTACAGTTTAAGTGGGTCATTAATAAAATGTTGATTATTAAAAACACAAGAGAAATGTTTGATGGGTAATCACATGACATACGTCGCGTATCAGTGGCACAAATTTGTCAAAATAACAGCGATCGGTATGTCGAAAAGACAGTCCGATTTACTTTTTTTTATCTTCTCATTGTACAACTAAACAGAGAATTGAAGCGCATGAAGGCAGAGACAATGAAGATAGAGAGACAATGAAGATAGTACTGGATGTGGGGGTTGGATGCTCGAGAGAAGCGGAGCATGCCCTATTTACACAAGGACGGATACTTGTGTAGATAAACGTAGGTGTTTAGCCACCCATTAAAATACAGCAGAAAGCAGGAAACTGTATCTACTTTATTCAAAAATTTCTGGGGGAGGACCTCTAGCACTGGTCACAAGAGCCAGTTTTCAGGAAGTATATCTTATATTGCATGAGTATTGGAGAAGCGTATTCTTATCCATCCATTATCTTTACCCCTTTCAGGTCACGGGGGTCACTGGTGCCCATATCAAGAGGTCACTATATGCAAGAGGTGGGGGACACCCTGGACAGGTCACAAGTCCCCGTTATAAGGACTATAAGGAAAAGTCTGGAAACAAAAGCCTTTCAGATTAACGTCTTAAAGAAAACCTGTTCTTCCCATTCTCTATGCAGCACTTCATTTGATTTAAACATCTGGATTTCTTGCAGAGACTGCTGGATGAGGGCTCCACTGACCCCTGCGAGTAAAGAATGTATGGATCTTCATTTGGCCCTTTGGAGAAAGATGTCGCCCACCCCTGATCTAAACCTACAAATCAAAAGAAACCATCATAGCCCAAACTTTACATTTTTTATTTTATTTTCAGTTATGTGCAATGTGAAGTTCACAGTTGAGCTCAACAACCACTTATAACCTGAAACCCAAAACAGACAAACTATTAAACTGAAAAAACTGATACGATGGAATAGCACCCATGAGCAACGCATGAAAGTGGACCAGAACAGGCTGACAGCTAAAGACCACCAACCGCACAGAAAGCTGCTGAGCCTGGTGCGTCACATGACTGGTGTTAAAGCTTGTTAGCTTAGTGTCTGTGAGATGGTACAAAAACTAATGTACTACAGAAAGAAACAAAAATCTAAATCACTCGTGCAGATCTTTTTTTTTTTTACCCTCTCATTAGAGTTGGATTACTCTATCAAAACTAAATATTCACAAAGATTAAAAAAAAAAAAAAAAAAAAGAACAGCCACTGGAGACAAAGGGAAATCACATCTATCTTTTTTCAAGTTATAAAAGAAACTGAATATAAGTTTAAAAAACTGTGCAAGTACAGCAAACCTATAGTACAGTATATTACACATAACAAAACGTTAAATACAGTACTGTGTATCAGTAGAAATCCTGAGAGTTCTCCGGTCCTGGTCTGCAGCCATGTTGATGAAGCTTTAACACTGGAGACTAGTGCCTTTAGGGAGAGGGGTTCAAGCCGTGTTGATTAAAACCAGCTCCGAGTCTTTCAACAGTTGATCTTCTCTTGGAGAAGTAAATCATATCCTCAAGTCCTTGCTGAAAGCGACTCTTCGGGTATTTATTTCCACGTAAACGTTTTATGTACGAAACAGAGGGCACTGTGTGTAGATCCATTGGAAATGTGCAGTGCAAAGATGACACAGGAACCTGCATGACGGGGACAAAGCACTGGAAAATGTCACTACGACAGGGAGAACCACTCGGTGGTGGTTTGGTTTTATACAAGATTGTCAACAAAAATTTAAATTAAAAAAGCAGCACCAAAAAGTTTTGTGTTCATGTGATGGCGTGGAAAGACTAAATTGTGGCTGTTGGGTGGAAATAGCACGAAATCTAGACCCTTGTGTGGGTCTTGTTGGAGGGCGCTTGGTAAAACTTGCAGTTAGGAACTGCTGAAGAAGAGGTCCAGTGCAACGCCAAGCTGACATTTGAGATGTTTATCATCGAGAGATGTCGTTTATGATTCTGATGCTCCCCTATATGTTTTTTTGCCACAGGCACGTTGGCATCACACACAGTCTACACTGAATTACACATCAATCCAAGCCTGCACCCATGCAACAGCCAAACATCACTGGCACCGGTTTTCCCCACTAAGCAGAGACAAGCAAACAAAAACATTAATGCACTTTCACTATTATAGCCTAATCACAGTTTCTTGATTTATTGCTACCACAAAATTAGTTTCAATGTCAACTATTTATCAACCTTTATTTTCCCCAAATTACCATAGTATGATGCCAAAACCCTCCGTCTCTTTTTATAGTCTCTATCGATACCATAGTCTTAAACGTCCCTTTCCTCCAATAATATATGTGAAGTTTCTGAGGTAAACCCGTTAGTTGGTCTGAACTTGCCACTTAGTGTTAGCACTAATTTGACTTTGTTCTTCGATCTCCAATGTGGAGAGTGAATGTTTCTAAGATTTCACTTAAATTATTTTTGCATAATACAAAATGAATGCCAACTCAAGGAAGGGGGAGGCGTGAGCCCCTTTCAACTGGAATAACAAAACTTATTAGCTTTGATACCACACTTTGTGTTCAGTTTTACACTCTGCTTGTGAAGGAAGATAGGGCCAAAAATATCATACATGCACTATAGATATTGTAATACAAAAGCACACTTCATATTAAAAATCATCTATAAAATAAGCTTAAGGGAGGCATTAACATAAAGTAAAAACACAAACCTTAGAGCTAGCAACCTACTAATGAGTTACGGTACTCATCTTACCCGTATGAATATATAGTTTATATAGTTATTTATATAGATTTTTACTCATCGATGACACATAGTATCCATATCACTAGAGGACGTTTTTAACCTGCCTTCACCCTCATTCGCATGTCTGACATAAAAATAAAATCAACACCATTTTATGCATCTCAAACATAAAACTGAACATGGCTCAACAACAAGCAAAAACAGGATAATTGCACTTATGATTTGTTGTACGGTTTTGTTAAACGCGCTTCAGTGTGGGTAGTTGGTGCCGTCTAGAAAAGAAAAATACTGCAATCTTTAAAAGCACCCCCATTTTGATCATTTTAAACCAAAGTTGAAACAATTTAAGACTCAACAAAAAAATGGTCCATGTGGTGCAAACCCAAGGTAACACCAGGCACAAGGTGGGCGGGACCAGCGTTCCCTCTTCCACCTAATAGATTGGGTTCACAAAATCACTTTGCTCAAAGCACTTTTTGTAGACATTGTGGGTAAAGTTTGGCCACCACACATTCAAAATGGCGACCCAAATCCCAGAGACGATCAGGGGTCTCGTAGACTTTGGTCCACACGTCCGCCTCGTCGTCGTACTGGTAAAGGGAGTTCTTCCGGCTGGTGCGAAACACGTGCTCCTCCACCATGACCTGTGTGGCACGTACAAACAGGTGCAGCTTGCCTTGCAGCAGCATGGCCTTGATGTATGGGCTCGTGGCTTGGTCAAAGGGCAGATCTCTCTTCCGGCTCCACGTGTTCCTCTCAATGTCATAGACCTCCACGGTAAAAGTGCGCTGGTGGTTCCTGCAGATGCCAGCAATGTAGTAGATGCAGTTTTTATACAAGGCAGCCAGACCTTGACTCCGAGGGACACTCATCGGGGCTAGATGACTCCAATAGTCTTTACGGGGATCATAGCAGAAAAAATATTCACCTGCAGAGGGGAAAAAAAGGCAAGAAGTTTTTAACATTTGAACTGATGAGCACAATTTCATAGCTTTTCTCTAACAGCATAAACTTACCCTGGAGGACGTAGATGCGGTCTTTATACTCCAAAGCACTATGAAACTCCATGGCAACCGGCATAGGACTGACTGCTGTCCAACAGTTGTCCCTGGCATCATAACACTCTACTGATTTCAAAGCATTTCGTCCGTCCCCTTCATAAACTCGACCTCCTAGTGAATACAGCTTCCCACAACAGTGCACAAGTCTGCATCCTATTCTTGCTCTCAGCAGAGACGCACGTGGAAGCCATCGGTTGCCTGCGTGCTCGTACTGCCAGAAGTCACTTTCTGCTCGATGGTCAATGCACACCTCACTATTGCTTGGTCGATAGCCCCCAGCTATATAGATGTCGTTCTCTGAGGACACCAAGATGCCGACCTCTCGGAGATCGTTAGGTGGTTTGCAAAGCTTGAACACTTTTCCTGCGGCCGTGTCCAGGCAAGGCACTGTCTGCTTCTTACCTGAGTGTTTATGAGCAGCATCAAAGCAGATCACCATCTCAGAAGCAGTCATACCCAGGCGCTGTGGGCAACCGTTTGTGCCAGTGAGGCGAGCTTTGACTTCAGCAGGATCTTTAGAAAGGGACAGGGCACAGGCAAATGGGGCAGGTATCCGACTGAGAAAGGCCTCATCCAACAAAGGCAGACGAATGCACTGAGAAAAAACCTCCGCAAGGTTGACCTCACGGCCAAGTCGATCATGCTCAAGCCAGCGGACAATACTCTCAAAGACATGCTCTTCCTTTTCCACATTTAGGTCATCGCTGTTCAAAATGCTGACCAACTGCTCCTTGGTCATCTGGAGGAACTCTTGCTCCCTCGATACACACAAGAACTACAACAACAACAAAAAAAAAGGTTTTAGTAGCCATGTCCACAGATCAGAAATCCAGCACATGTAAGGGACAAAACTAAAATGGCTGTTTTCAAAATGTTCACTCACTACATTGTGGTCCTATATTGCAGACTACATAAAGGAAACAAACAGCCAAGCATTTTAGCATCAACACTACCGGAATCCAACATCCTGAAACTTCATATTATCCACCAAGTACTCAACATCACAGTTACATAAATGAAGAGCAGCAAAATATGACACTCAGCCAAAACCAACATGTCATGTTGTCTAAGAGTATTTGACATTACTTGTCTCCATGACACTGACATAAGATTTAGTTATACATATATGTAACTAAATATTAATAAAACTGTTACACATTTTCAAATTTTTTAACTTACAACCACAAGTTGTAGTTGTAACTATATCAAAACTTTCAGTCTACTAAAGTTGTGAATTTCACTTACAATGTATTTCTGTACAGAGTTCAGAGTTGTAGTGTGTGTGCAAATAATTTAAACGAGATTCACAGCATTACAACGGTTAAAGAGCAGCTTGCTTCTCATGTTGTACTTTTACAAATTATCTTTAACACGTTTTAATCCTCCAATTATAAACATTCAAAATATAGTTCCAGTATACATTTTTTTTATAATTTCCTAAACTCAGAAACAAGAGTAGACATCTTACTTTAGGCAATCCCAATAATAACCTGTAGAGGTTAGCATTAGCCTGGATTAGCCTGCTGAGTCGTCTCAGGGCACAACACATTATGTGGTTCATTTCCACTGATGCAATGTTCAACTTTGTACACAACTTTTACTGTAGTCCATAAAGAGTTTATAGGTCACTATATAGTGTATAAAAATTACAGTAGAAACTATGAACACCATTACAAAATAGCTAATTATGTATATTAAGTATATATTATATGGTGCACTAAAAGTGAATGAGTGAAGAATTAAAACACAGCCATTGTCTAAAAAGGTGGAATAAATAAGTAACAACCATATTATTTAACTGCAGTACAAATTTTTGTTAATCAATTTGATGATTATGTTAATCTGACCTTCTTGCGAATGTAATCCTGTGAGCGTTCCCTTAGTTCTTGATGCCCATAAGCATCTGCGAACATAAAGACGCCTATGCAGTTCTGTGGGTCAAGCCGACTGATCATGAACTGGGCACACTGATCCTGCAGAGCAGGAATCTGGAAAATGCTGGCTGCCGTGAACAGGGCCTGGACATTGGACTCAGAGAGTGTGATTTTGGACGTGTAGGCATAGTCTAGAACCAGATGCATGGACTCGGATTCCACCCCAACAATCCTGACCTTACGCTGACTGCTCTCTGTAAGGCCGCTGGTGAACATGGACCTGTAGTGAAGATAAGAAAACATAATAGCAACGGAGAAAAAAAAATTCCACTTTTGTGCTGTAAATTGATAGTAAAGATATAAAAATATAAATTATCGGGCTTTTTTCAGCCAAAATAACTTGTAACTGAGAAAAGTTTTCATGTTGCTAACTTTTAAACATTTGTTAAACACTTGTGCAAAACCAAAACTTTTACCTAAAGTATGGACTGATTGCTGCGAGGACGTTTCGGTGACATGGAAAGGTCTTGCCATGATCCACTTCTACAACAATGTCTGTGAGCTGTGCTTCATCGTACAAAGCTTTGAGCTGCTGAAGGATGTTACAGGCATGCACAGCATCGACCCCGTTGTAGTTGGTCACTGGAGGTGTCCCATTCTGTACTTGTAACAGCTTCCCTACCTCTGAAGAAAGGGGGGAAAAACAAGAGAAAATTGCAGTTTACTGTTAAAAGTAGACACACAACCTATTAAAATCTTTAATCAATACTAAAACCTTTTTCAGCTGTGGCAACTGTCTTGAACTGGGTTGACACCAAAAGTTGATCAGTCAGATGTACATTCAACGGTTAATTCTGACAGAATTTCATTCAATTCATTCAATGGTTCATGAAATATTTTGCTAAGTTTTAGACAAATATATTGCACAAAGAGTAGCCCTTGGAACATGTTGGGAATAAGCTAGTTAGCTGAGGTGGCCATCTTGAATTAGGCTGGCCCCCAGACAATCAGTTTTAGAGGTACACCCAATGATTATTTCCTAAAGATTTCAATAAAAATATGTCCAGAGGTTCATGACATATTTTGCTAACTGACAGTTGATGCTATCTAGGCAACAGCTAAAATTTAAACAATAAAAATTAGTGCAATGTTTTAGTACTCAAGATGTTTTTGAGAAGACTTTTAGCTACTTCCACAACAAATTTTAGGTGAATATCCATGACCCTGACTGCTTTAAAGCCATTTTTGTAACGTCAGTTGCCCATGGCAGCCATTTCTTATGAGTTGACTCCAAAGTAAAGCGGGTGTAGATGTAAATCTAGTGATTACATTCTGCATGTTTCTTTAAAACGTGTTCAGTGGTTCATGAGATATTTTGGTAGCAGGCAGAAACATTATCACTTGCCTCCACCTTTTGGTAACTCATGTATTCATGATCACACCCAACAGGATTAGGGCTGTAAAGGGGAGGGGGATGTTTTACAACCAAAAACTAACTCACTAAACTTGTGAGGTGCGCATTTGTCACAGCAGTCTACAATACAATTTGGTTTTCTAAGAATTGAGAAACACACTTTAATTAAGAGTAATAACATATTTTGTAAATACGTCACCTAATTTACATTTAGGGAACACAACTACTACAAGCATTGTAAGATACGTGATCTTAACTGTTACAAAGAAATTTGGGTGCATTAAATTGCTTTTTGTTTTAAATAATGCCACGCATCTCTTCAGAGTTTATTTTTTTACTTTAATAACCTGACGTGAAAATAAAACAAAACAACATCAAAGCTGCTGTAGGTGTGAATATTTAAAACCTGTATGGGTTAAAAATTAATTGGTTAATTCACATAGAGTTTACCCGAACTGGATTGCAGCTCAAAGAGAGACTTTAGTGGACATCTGGACGTGTTACCTTGTATATTCAGAGGTCTGTCCATTAATAGTAACTGCAGAGTTTAGCTCGTCTATATTTAAGCAGATGGTCTAGCTGAGTGACACCGCAACTTTTTTTATTTTTAAATTGCACCACTTCAGCTCTGTTGTTTCACCTGCTTTGAAAGGGCAACCATTCATTCAACACCTCGTCCTGAGCAGCACTGTCTCATTATTGATAGGACAAAGACTGGCAGGGTGAATAACCACTGTCTCGCCAGGTGGTAGCTAACTTGCTACCATCTCTAACGCAAAACGCCGGCTGCTCCGCACCAGAGCAGCAAATATGTCTGAAAATAAACTCGGAAGACCGCAAGATGTGTACAGTTAAGGTTACGTGCTCCGTCGTGTTTATTACACAAAACAGTGAGGCTTTCATTTAGTTTATTGAACATACACGCTCAGCTTTGAGGAGAAATGTAGGCAACAAGCTAACATTAGCAAGCATTCTTTGACAACACTGCAAGCTACAGGGAACGAAAAGTGCCATTACTGACCGTGTGTATATGTCGTTTACAACTAATTTTATGCGATACCGACAACGTTACTTAGCTAAGAACAACAGTTACTACTACTTGTCTAACGTCCGTGCCTTGTCACAATCAAGTGTTGACACAATCAGCTGTGGGGGCCAAAAGTTAGCCACACAGCTAACGTTAGCAACAAGCCGAACGGCAAACAACAGTTTGAGTAGTGGCAAAACCCGAGATTATCTCTAACGAGTTTCCAGCACGTCACGACTTTTAACTTATCTGTACGGCTACGCTCGATGATCAGTTGAAACACTAAAAATACAACTTTAAAAAGTGCTACTTCAGTGTGGTTGGAACAAAAAAACAATGAAGACTTTGCTAACCTCCACAGGCAGCCATTCTCCCCCAGTCAGTCCGTCTCTCGGCAGACCGAGAAACGTCAGTGAGTTCACATCGGAGCCCCGGAAACAAGGAAGAGCCAATCACAGGAGGGCGTCGAATCTCACAGCCAATCACGTCCCGCCTCAACAGTTAACGGAGGGGGGAGGGGGAGGGACAGTCGACGTAGGGTGGATTCATTTTTTACTCGTGCGACTGAAGAAAGTTAGGACAAATTAACAAAACAGTCCATAAACTGGGATCTATATTAAAAAAATAAAATGAAAAAAGTTAAAAAAAAAAAAAAACATGATGAAAGCAGTATTCAACAGAGTTAGACTACACGTTAGAAGTCGGACATTATTGGTGAAATCTTTCCTTTACATAAAATTTAAAATAATTATTTATGTGAATGAAATGTAGTCAATCAAAAGCATTAAAAGTCTGTGTCTCCATCCAACTCAAGCACCGTTGACCAATCACATATTGTCACAGGAGTGACGATGGAGAGTGGTGGCGCAGAAGTTAGAGAAGGTGGGCCGCAAAGTCAGAAGGTTGTTGGTTTGACTACCGGGACCAACAACATCAAAATATGGTTGGAAAAGGTGAAACACCCACACCTGCCTCCACCCTTATTCATCCCACACTGGGTCCTTGAGCAAGGCCCTTAACCCCAACCATCTGCTCCCAAAATAGGTCCTTCTTGAAAATGAGTTCTTGTGACTCAGTGAGACTACCTGTATAAATAAAGGTTTAATTAAAATGGACACTCCAAGGCACACCCACAGCAGAATATAATCTGTAGCTAATCTGCTAAACGAAACAAACAAACAAAAAAAAAAAATCTGCTAGTAGCTGTTAGCAGATTAGTGGAACTGTGCCCACGACTGAAGAGACTTTTCAAGTTGTTATTTGTTATTTACCCCACAAAAGAGGACAGTTTAGGTCATGCTCCAACATCTTGATAATCAAAAACTCTGAGGTTGGGGCACCATTTGCATGTTACGTCGTTCAAGCAAAAGCTGGACACTTTTATTGTCACTGCAATACAAGAGACAGGCATTGCTTAAGGCCACTGAGTTCATGTTTTTAAGGTTACCACATGCCTCCCAACCCCCATCACTAAAACACACACACACACACACTCCACCAACCCCCACAAAACAAAACAATTGCATTGATTGTAATTCAAAGGGGTGAGTTTGTGACAAAACGAATTCTCAAATGGTCTTCATTTCCATAATTAATCACTTTAGTTTTAATTAATACTCAAACATTTGACAAATCAATTTCTCCTTTGTGGGCTAATCTGCCAGAAAAATGCCACTGGTTACAATTACGAATACACATTAGGTAACTTGTACCAAGTCTGTTCTCAAATATGTGGGAAGTTCTCCAAAATGCAACCAAAAAAATCACATTCTGTACAAGAGTAAAGCAATTCGGATCAGTTAGTTTGATTGTGTTCAACTGATCAAGATGACCACTTGCTCACTTCTATTGAGTACACAGAAACCATGGCCCCTTGTTAGGATTTAACAAACAAAGCGCGTGATTTTGTCTTCCTCACTCTTGTAAGCCTGTATCTCACTGGTCTGCAACAGTTGGAGTCTAGTTAGTAATTCAAAATTGTGAGAAAACAGATGAAGTGTCTGCTGCAGTCTCACTGAGTTCTGAGTGTTGGTGAACAGCAGTCATGCAAATATGGTCAGTTGGTGAACATTACTGCACAGTGCTTGCAAAACTGTAGTGTAGGTTGTGCACATTATTTTGTAGCTCACGTACTCTAATATTGCACCCACCTCAGCCTACATTGTGCTCAGTTTGTCAGCCACCACCACCTTTATGACGTAATCTACTGGAGTACACTTCAGAAATGCAGTCCAGCAAATTTGGACAAGTTTTTATTCTTCTGTTATTTATATTATTTATCCTTGGCATGTTTAGACCTTTTAGACCATGCTTAGAGGAGAGAGTGGTGGCGCAGTGGTTAGAAAAGGTGGGCCTATGAATGGAAGATCGCCAATTCAGCTCCTGGTACCAACAACATCAAAATGTGGGTGGGATAGGTGATGTATGCACACCTGCCACACTCTGGGCCCTTGAGCAAGGCCCTTAACCCTCACCATCTGCTCCTCGGGGCGTCCTAGAAGGCAGCTCTCTGCTCCACACAGAAGGCTGTGGTAGCTCGGTGATCTGTGATTGCATCAGGAAGGACATCCGGCTAAAAATAATAATAATTGCCAAGTCTTTGTGCGACTTAGTTCGCTGTGGCGAACCCTGAATCTTTGGCATGGCTAGACCTGGATATTTTGGGCTGTAACACTTGATGTTTTCTAAAATACTGGTACTCTGGATATCATGATAGAAGACATTTTAAAACAAGATTCATTAAATACAGCATTGCACTCGTAAAATAATTCTTATTTTTGTTTTCCTAAAACAACAAGCACAGGTTGTGTTTTCTCTGCAATAGAGCTTTAGAGCGTGACGTCACTTGTCCGCGGCGCGGCGGCTGATGGGATAGGATTGGGCCGGATCCACCATTTTTATTGCCCTTCATATTAACTGTTGAAAACAAGCTTTCTCACTGACATTTAAAAAAAAAATCTAAGTAGGTTAAAACAGTTTAGCGATGGTCCGAAATTGCTGTGTTATTGGATGTAATGTCCGGTCACATGACTAGAATTGTAAAAAGATCGAAAACTGACTTTTTTAATAGATTCTCTGCCAGGAAACAACGCGAGGAGCTCGTGTGTTGGACGTAACAAAAAGGAGACGTGAGACGTCCTGATAACTTTCTCTCCAGCGTCCCATGATACCTGCTAGTTTGTTCCAGACATTCTGGTGAGTGTCTAAATTCAGTTTGTTGGTGTTGTGCCATAAATTTGTGCC